TTGCAACTGGAGGTAAAATGTTGTAAACTAGAATACATGCACACAAACTTGATCTCATCCAACCTCTGTGTGGCTGGTTTTAAAGCTGTGGTAATAAAAACCTTTGCTCGGTAATGATCTAATGGTTACACACACAGAGGGCTGTCTCTCTGGAACTATCAATGTTGGTGACAGAGGGTGGGTCTTGTAAAGAGGAAATCATGCGCAATAATTACCTAGGCATGTAAAGGACTCTCTCCGCCACCACAAAGCCCACCCTGAAGAAGAGATTGCTGGCTGGGATGAACGGGAACACCAGGAACAACAAGCCCACTAACACTTCCTTGTGCTCCAGTCTCTGAAACACACAAGAGTGAAGGACAAATGAACTTTTGTTTAATTCCACTTCAGGCAGCATTTAACCATCTCCTTCCTCCATTTTCAAGTTCTCAAGGAAGGAATGAGTAAATTAGACCAATATAAACCTTTTGACCAGTGTGCTGAATTTAACAGAAAAAGCCCACAGGCTAAAATCGCTGGCACACCAAAATACTCACACTTACCCCTGACACACATTTGCCCCCCAGAAAAATAAGATATTGGCACAATATGGTCGATGACCATTACTTGTTATTCTGGGCTGGCCTACACCCTCCCTACTTTTTGGTTCGGGAAACTTTCAGAATCACCGTCTTCCCACACACCTCGTTTCCAGAGAGCAGAGCAGTTGGATGAAGTCAAACACAGTAAGGTGCCACAGACAATTTAATTATTGTCTTCTCTGAAATAAAATGCATTTTTAAAATAAAAAGTTCACCAGGAGAAGCAAAGATTATTTATTATTTAATAAAGAAAATTAAATGCTAATGAAATTTGAGACACGAATGAAGGGGGGGTCATTTGAGCTGAAGAATATCTTAACATCTCTTAAATTAGGCTAGTAAACAAGTATTTATTCCATGATTTTTTTGGAATAAAAAATCATTACAATAACTCATTAAATTGACAAAGAACCTTATTCTGATATTGTATATATTAATCTGTAAAGATTTTCTGTCACATATTATAATTAACAGAAAAACTTCTGTTTATTGCTAATAATATGTTGTAATGAGCATTGTAAAAAATAGTTTGTATTTCCTTGTATATATATGGTATAGACACCTGTGAAGAGAACTCTATTTAAAACAGACCTTAATGTATTGGATAACATCTTTTTTAAGTTCAAGAAGAAAAGCAAGTAGAACTTTCCATATTACAATTTTTAATGTTTCCCATAAACATTTTAAATAGTCTATTACTTTTAATAATTAGAAAAGTAAGTAACAGAATTTTGCAAATATACAAAAAACTCCCTAATAGAAGCTACAAATACTTTAAATATACAAAGTAAAAGATTTTAAATATCTTGGGATATTCGTCACCTGGATTTTATTAAAAACTTTATTTTACTAACTACAGCATATAGAGTAATAAAATTTCTGAGAGCAATTCCATATGATTCACACAGTTTCTCTTAAATAATTAATTGCTCTATAAGTAATGATCTCACTTTTTACCTAAAGGAAACACAGCCTTTAGAATTAAAAGAAGGAAGAAATAAAAAGGTAACACAACAAGCCTTCAACTCAAGTGGATGCATGAGGATGTTACAATTCTATGATTGACCAAAAACAGTTAAAAAAAAAAAAAGGAGCAAGTTCCTTTTATTTAAAAGCTGCAAGCTATCTTTGTAATTTAGATTATACTTTGCATTTACAAAGTACACTTCAATTTGAGGACTTAAAAGTACATAATTTAAAAAAAAACCTCTTCACAAGAATCCTGTGTTATCAAGAGCAAATATTTCTTGCTGACATTGAAAATAACCCCAAGTTTGAGTGTCTTGTCATATGTTCCTCATTAACTCTGAGCCTATTATTAAGTAGTACATTGACGTTCTCTTTTTATAGGTGCATTTTTATATTTTAGAGATGGTTACTTCTTTTGACTCTTCAAAAGCTGAAATATTTTTACAAAAGCATTCAAGTGTCTTCCCTAAGATATTTCTGCAGAGAATGTAATGCACCCTATTATTATAATTCATCCTAAGAATTAAGAGTGCAGGTATAAACAGAACTCTGATCAGGCCATTATCCATGTCCCTGGATAGTGCCTTATCCAAGTGCCCCTGCCTCTCGTCATGGTTATTAGAGAACAGCCCTCATTGGGAATCTGAGACAGGCATCCCCAGTATCACATCCCCAATATCACACCTTCTGCCTCTCTGAGTAAAGGTGGGTGTCCCTGACTCAACAGAGCCCCAAATGCCAAGCAGCCACCAGGTTGGGAGGCACCTTCATCGTTGAGGTGGATGTCAGGTATGAAGAAACATCACCCTCCCTGCCTCTTCCTCAACCACCATGCCCTTGCACTGGGCAGGATCCCCATGGCGCCCCTTAATGCTGGGGACACGGAAATGGGGGGTGGGTCAAGGAGTGTCCGCCTTCCCCAGAAGATGGATATGCGAACTGAAATACCGCAGTGCAGTGAGCTCATCTGGTCCTCCACCAGGTTCTTCAGGTGCCAGGCACAGTCGTTATTTCCTTCATGAAAATCATCCCAGTTGTAATTACACATTTATCCCTGTGTTCACTGTTTTTAATGTCTGCCTGTCCCACTAGCTTGTGAGCTCCGGGAGGGCGGGGAATGCGGCAGCGGTGTTCACTGCTGCATGACTTGTGCTTAGCTCAGTGCCCGGTGTGGGTATTTGCTGAATAAATCAATGAAGTGAACAAATGTACCAGGTAAGAGAGAAAACTGAGTGGAAGAAGGGGAGGAGGTAGAGAGGGCTTCCTGGTAGAGGTGACACCTGGGCTTGAAAAATAAATAAATGTTTCTAAGAATGACACATTTGGGAGTGAGGAGGTGGTCACAGCCAGGCACACCCGTGGGAGAAGGTACGGAATGTACACGGCAGGGAATAAGACTGGACATGTTGGCAGGTGACAGATCGTGAGGGTCTAGTATGCCCTGCTGTAGAACTGACCTTCACCAGAGGCAACGGAGAGCTGCTAATGGGTCCCTTGTGCACAGAAAGAAAAGTGAGTGAGTGTCAGGGGCCAACGTCTAGACTCAGGATGCAGCCCTGCCACCAATACACCGTTGGTCACCTTGGGTAGGTTTATTATCCTATCTGTCCTCAAGGAGCCTCAACTACAAAGTGAGACTCAGGGTTGAGTGGGGTTGGGTCATTACAAAGATTTCCTGAGCACCAAAGTCCATGTTATTGGAGTCGTGAGCTGCGAGCTTAGAGGACACCAGCCTGTACTGCTACCAGAGGGGCTGGCCTTAAGGGGTGTTTTTCTTTGTGTTTAAAACAGCAAATTGAAGACAGTGGCACAGTGCCCAATGAAGTTTTATTATGTTGTTTGATTTTGAGAAAACTAATATTCATGAAAAAATTCTTTATCTTCAAATTAAATTGATGACAATACTCTTTGTCTTTCTTCTTCCTCACTCAGTCAAGCGAGATTAAAGATGTTCAAGAATACATTTCCTTAAATAGCAAGTCAATCTGCCAAACAGAAATTTGCAAAGTTAGGAAAAAAATACATCATGGACATGGCTAAATTTCCTAGGATGAGAAAGACTGGGAGGGAACCCAATTCTGTTTCCCAAGGATCACTGATGTGACAAAATTGGCTAAATATTTATAGCTTCTTTCAGCCTAATAGATTCAGGTGAAACTAAAACAAAATATAAGGGGGGAAAAAAGAGAAAATTTAAGGTTGTTACTAAAGTATACATAGGGCATTCATTTAGAAAAAAAGGCAAACAGAAATTTACTTATTCCAAAATAAATTAGGGAGAGAAGAGACCTGGGAATTAAGAGAGCTAATAATACAGTCTTATAATACATATTATTTGTCTGATTAACTGTGCAACTTCGGACAAGTTAATTTACTTCTCTGAGCTTTAATTTGATGATCAATTAGACAAAAGAAAGGGTACTGCTACCTATTGTATCTGTAGGAAAACTGTGTGATAGATTCACTATTCTAGGTCTCAGGTTTGATTTTTCTTCTCTGGGTTGCGAGAAATACGGAAGAGCAACCCCCTGAGCTGCAAAGAAAAATCCTGTATTAACGCCCTGCTGGGGTGCTCAGAGGATCACTAGGCCACCACTGGCACCGCCACACATCTGGCCAAGCAGCGAAGGGAAGAGCAGGGACTTTTCTCAGAACCACAAACTGCCTCAGAGGAAATCTAGCTCTACAACTCAAGTAGCCTCTGGCTTATCCCCTCACCTTTTTACTCCCAGTTCATCTTCCAAAGTGCACGTCACAGATGAGGACGCACACACATACACACGTGTGCACTCTGTCCAGCAGTTTGTGGGTGAGTGAGTGTTAATGAAAAAAGGATCCTTCCTGCCCAATTCAATAGCATTGCAGGCTGTTCCCTTCCAGAGAGGTAGAAAATAGGCTTATAATAATAATTATTACCATCAATACTATTATATTTTTTTCCCACAACTAACACAAGTTTCAGAAAAATGACACACTGCATTTATGGCATGAGTGTGTTCACATGGTTCTACAAATCACACAGCTATGTCTCAATCCTAAGGATTTATCTGGCAGCCCTGGGCTCTAGCTGTCTGCATCCAATTTATCAATCCACAGGGAAGCTGCTGACAGTAAAGCTCCTCCCTTCAGCTCTGGGATTAAGGCATCTGCCAAGCGACAATTGGTATGGCTGAATACTCATTAGGCTCTCTTTTTTATATCTGTTTATGTTAATGGGTCTACTTCCTCTATTAGACTATGGATTGATTTGTTGATGGCAGTCATCAAGGTATATTTAAATTTATCTAGATGCCTGGCACGACACCCCTACTGCTGTCCACAGGAAATTTATCCTTGAGCCTCCACTTGAGAAAATCCAGGTCTCAGGTGTATTTAAAGTATCAGGAACTTTGAATCCACAAAAGCCCTTATGCTCACTGATGCTATTGAGTTCATAACATAAACTGCATCAGATGGATGGGGAACTGATCTCATCTTCAACACTCTAACTCGGGAGCCAAGAAGAACACTTTCAAGATCAGAACAGGCAATGCCAACCTAGAGGAAGAAGAACAGAGAGAGCCTGGCTGTTTGGGACAACAGAGTCCTGCCGCCGTTCTATACAAATGTACCTTTAACTCATTCCCACTGGGATGCCACACTGAGCCCTGAGCTGCCCTGTCGCCTACCTGACTCTCACTGTTGTATCTGTTTTCCTTTGAATTTTAACAGCCTCTCTCACCTTCAGCTCTGTCTGGCAGTGGCCGGGTTTGCCTGTCTATGGGCACAGCTCCTGTCTGGATTTTCT